ACCGTGGACGTACATATTATACTATATACTGCAAGTGTATATAGAAAAGTTTGGAGACAATATATTGTTAGAAGAACATAGAATTACAATTTTGGCCATTTTTTACGACTATACTCGTTACCTTCTAGCGAGAGGAGTGTTTAACAAACGTTAAACGTTATTGGAAAAAGATTGGCATATACACAACGTCGACTATAATATTATGCACAGGTATTGAGTGGCTATCTCTAACTCTTTCTAACCACGCCGCCGTAACCTGCAGGGATTTAAAATAGTAGGTACACTGATATAGTGATATCCATAGCCGTAACTAGACCTTAAAGTTAGGGGGGAGGCTACAGCCCTAGAATTTTTATTATAAGTAAATTAAGTGGGAGGCTCTGCCCACATACCCCCCTCAAACACCTTACAATTAGCTTACATTCATTGATTATACATATAATATGAATGTAAATTAATATTTAATTATAAAACAAATAATAAACCAAGTGGTATTGAGGTTAAATATTTATATATTAACATATTATTAAGTATTATTTTAGATATAAAGAATTTAACGATTTTTAGTTTATTGACAACTTCTTAGTAGGGAATATTTGTGTAGTAAAAATTACACAACATGATACGTCTTACACAGAATCATTACATACAATAATATAGTTTAAATTAATATTTTTCCAAGATATTAAATAAAATAAAATAAAACGATATTTTAAATTTAAGTTTAAAAATGTTACTAATATTGGCGAGAGTGTGGGACTAGGAATTATGGCAGGGGGGGGCTAAAAATTATGTTGGGGGACTAAGCCCCCCCCAAGTCCCCCCTAGTTACGCCTATGGTGATATCCCTTTTAATGAAGGTAATGCTTATAAATTTACAATTATTAGATGTCTTAGTTCGTGCCGTTCGTGGTATTAAACATTGAAGTGGGTGTTTTATTTTTGGTTTTAGTCACTGCTATTTCCCTCTCGTGTTTACCTATACCCACCAACATTTGATGTTTTATTTTGTCAAAGATTTGCATGCAATATGATAACTGAGATTATATTCGGTGTGGGCACTACTTCACGGGACAAACCCCAGTAATAACGAGATCATGTATCAATAAAAGTCTTATAAGTTGTTTAAAATTAGGGGATGGGAGGGCGTGGTCGTGCGCTTGTATTTTGATCAGCTTTCTCCGAAAAAAACAATTGATATCGCGCCAGTTTTCGGCAAAAATAGTCCGACCAAATGAAATTAATGTCGAGGTACACTCAAAAGTCAAAACTTACATGATTTAGTGTACCTAACCGATGTATGAGGATCGAGTTTTTCGGGTTTTTTTTTTTAACGATTTAAATATTTTGTCAGTGTTAAGCGGTAAACGGATTCGGAAACAATGTAGGTGATAAAATTAGGTATAATGATTATTATTATCGATATAATACAATAAGACTCGATTTCAACCGCAGTAAAAGCTTGAGAGCCGCAAACAAACAACAGTCAACAATGGTAAAATATGCGTAGAAATAAATAACGACGATGCGCACCTATATTTATTATTTTCGTATGACTCGTGTGAGTGTGTGTAGAACGAACGGGACTTGGACACGTTGTTTAAAAATAAATTCTTTTGTTGACGACTCGTCGTAGTAAAAGGACTATCTATAGTATGTTTAACACCCTCTACGACTCTACGAGTTTTCGTCTCTAGTTGCACCGACGTTCTCTGTGTTTTCATGTTCGACAGTTTACCTCGTTTGACGCATTGCGCGCCTTAAACATATTTTTAAATGTCGAGTGGGCTGGCCCGCGGCTACATCAACGCATTTTTATAGCGTGCCCGGGCCATCGCATATTTTACGAAAACGCACTTGAATTGAATCTAGAAAAAAAAATCGATAAGTGCGCGTCTGCTCTATCCGCCCACGGGCTACACGTACACGTCTTGTACCTACACGATAATACGTGTACGTTGTACTCATTTGTAGTGAAGATATGCTGACGTGGCGGTAGACTTTTGACTTTTATTTTTCTATAGGTATTAATAATACCATACTAACCAAAGTCTATAATATTAACCGGATCGCAGTTCCCAATTTCGGGGATATGGCTCGAGAAGAATATAGTTTATTCGTCACAGTAATAATAACCATCTTAACGTAGGTACCTATTAATCGAAAAAAAGCCCTCTTGTCCATAGTTAATATTTAATGACAATAAAACAAAAATAAATCTTAAATAATAAGAATAAATTTATTTTCGATTAAATTAATAGTGAAATTATTAGTTCATTATAAATTATCATACGTTTAGACTGTTTAGAGCATATTAAATACACGATAAACGTAATAAAAAAAAAAAAAAAAACAATTTTTAAATGTATGTAAACACTAAACAGTGATAGTAGTATGAAATTGACACTGACATATGCGTAAGTGGTACCTACTAGCTTTTAAGAAATTTAACTTTATATCATCCATATATTGGGCCTTGGGCGGTGGTCGTTTGGGCGAAGGTAATAATTTTGACTAAAAACATAATAGTCCGTTTGGGCGAGTGAAATTATTTTTTAACCGTAGATTACTACCCAACTATATTATAATACTATTAATATCTATAATCTATGCCAATATTTTTAACAATTCTCTCCCAAACGGTGCACATATATTCGCCCTAATGGTATTTTTAGTTGAATAAACCCTCGCCCAAATGGTATATATTTATTCGCCCAAACAGACTATATTTTGGATCGATTCGCCTAAACGGTCTACGCCCATATATAATTATAGTCTATACGCTCTGTAAGCAATCACATAAATAAAATTATTTAATATGAATTTGTTAGTTATTTTAATTTTATTAACTAATAACTTTTCTTAAGAATTTATAATAATAAACCTGTATATAAGTTATCTTTTTCAAGATTTTAAATCTAAGATGAAAAAAAAAAACACTGATTTATTTTTATACAAAATATTATTATTTATTTTAATACTTATGATCACTCTTTAATCTTTAATACGAAAAAAAAAAATATAATAATAATAAAAACACACAATTTAAAAAGTTAATATAATCATATTATGTAAGCTATAGCTGTTTAATACTCATCAATTGTTCGTTGCATTAAACATCGTTATATATTTTATTTGTGTTTTCATAAGTTTTTTTTGGATTTATATTGAAAATTGGGCTATTTTTGTTTTGTCAAAAAACAGGCAAAATTTATCACATTTTTAGACATTAGTGTCTAAACAGAAGGGTGATTGTGACCTAGTAATTTTGAAAGATGATGGTTCCACACTTCTATTTGGTTGTTTATTCGATGAACATTCCACGCCTATAGTGGAAAAAAAGTTGAAAATGAGACATATAGGAGATATACAGTGTACAGTGTACTTAGTTTATTAATTGGTCTTCTTTAAATTGCAGCTACACAAGATTTTAATAATAACCTAATGTCATACATTTTTTAATTTAATTTATCGATGAGTTATGATAATAAAGTAATTTTAATATAGTTAATATTAAGTTAGAAACTCAATAAAACTATATTAAATAATTTAATTTTTTCCATTTACCTATTGAAATTAAAGGGAAACTAATTATATTCACAAGTTTATAACCTTACTCATTAATTATAAATATGTGTATAATGTAAAAAATGATAACCATTTACAATTACTTACTATATCAATACAGTATTGATACTTTGATACATCGTGTTAACATTAAAATTGATGGATTGTAAGAATTTTAATAATGGGAATTTTTCAATCCTTTTAACATTTTAAACTTTTATAATTATAAGTAATGTAAGTAAACAGTTATTTATACAATAAATGTTTATTAATAAATAGTTGTGTTAATAATTAAGGTTAAACAAAAACTACTTTAGTGTTAAAAAAATTCACATATGATAAATGGTTTTTGGATTTGATATTAAATTGTGATGTTTTATTAGGCATAAAATTCTTTCAATGTTAATAGTTAATGGTCTTAAACAAATAAAATTATTTGTTTGAGATCATTTGAAAAAACTAAACTGAGTCTGATTAATTGATTATTAAAATGGTGTACATGAATAAGCAAAGGTAGATATGTAAAATATAATTTAAATTGATATCAAGAAGATTACAATCAAAAGATATTAATTTCTACAAAAATTGAAATAATCCATTTTGTTTAAAGATTTAGGGAGATAGAATCTAAACTGTTGAAAAGTCAATTTCAAAATGACTTAACAACAAATTCAAATCTTTTAAGAATCCTTATTGTTTCACTAGATTAGTTGGTATGTTGGAATGAAAATGTTTTAACTGTCACTTGTGATAAACAAAGGCAGAAAATCACAACTTTCAATTCTTTTAAAGAAATTGTTGACATATAACTTAAATCAGGTAATAAATAATAACATTTGATAAACTAATCTAAAACTTATTAATGTTAAAACTTTAAAAGCATTATGTCATATTTACACTCTCTTTTTGTATTAAGACTTGTAATATAATTAAGTATTATGTGTTTAAGAATAATATAATGTTGTTTATTTATGATCTTCTTATTATCTATTAACATTATCATTACGAAAACAAATATTCGTCTAAGTTTTTTTAGTTAAAAAAATTATATTTTGGTTAAATAAAATGCATACAAATATCATATTTCATTAAATGTTGATTTCACTATCACTAAAAATTATTTGTACTGTAACACCTACTAAAAAAATAGGCTCAGAAGTACATATAGAAGTATATTAAAATAATTAAATACAACTGTCACATTAAATGTATTGTAACTTTTATTTGTTAATAGTTTTTAAACGTTTGAAAACCATAATGAAAAAAAAAATCATTTACATTTAATAAAAAATTATGTTTAAAGAAATCGATTTTATTTCCATCAGAAAAAATAACACAATAAAATTAACCAAAATAAAAGAAATAACTTTAAGGACTGCTCTAACTCTAAAATATTATAAATAGTTTTTTTTTTTTTTTTTTTGAAGCAAATTTTCCAAAACAATTAATAATTACTATTTTCAGAAAATATGTTAAATACACAGCAATTTCTTTTTAATATGTACTTATTCAGCCAAATCCTTTCAGTCTTGAAGTCATGGTAATTTAATCATCAGGTTCTTGTGTCAATAATAAATTTGCAGCCATATTTTCGTTCTTCTCGCATGCAAAATATGCCTGCACAACTTGGTGTTCTGGAAAACCTAATGCTTTCAACTGAAATAAACGTAAAATAAATTATAAATTGACAGATGATAGTATATTGAAATACTCACTCTATCTATGGCTTCTTTGTCTTGTGTAGATACAGGCACTTCATATCCTCCAACTGGTCCTCTACCAGCAGCTGCTGGTGCTGCAGCAGCACCTTCATTTGGTTCATTTAACATGCGAACAAATGCTTCTTGATTATTAGATATCATTTGTAACAGTGCTGGATTGGTTTGTCCAATTTGTTGCAGCACAGAGTTTAATAATTCGGGATTTTGCTGAACAACAGAACGCATTTGTTGAAATGTTGGTTGGTTGCGCAAAAAAGCTAAAGGATCAGCTTGGGGAACTTGGCTACTACCAGTTGAGCTACCTGTGTCTAAAAACAATAAAGAGTAACTCAATTATATAAAAAAAATGTAAGAAATAAGAATAAAGCAATAATAATACAGATTAAACACATTATACAGGTAATATAGAAAATCTATTTAATCTCTTTCTTCAACCTCTTTGATAAAAGACCAACAATTTTTAAAATAAAAATGGGAATGACAGTTCAACAAAAAACAGGTTTCTAACAGAATGTTAAATTATTAAACTATTAAAATTTAAATATTGTATATCCTTAAAATATGAGCAAACTAAACAGTTCAAAATATTCTATCTAATATTATTTTAAATATTAAAAATTATAGATAATAAGTACTTGATATAAATGGAAAATATATATAGGTTTTGGGCAATAAAAATAAATCTGAATAGTGTATCATGAATAATAAAAATTAATTGAATACAATGATCTAAAAGTTTCTAACACAACATCATATTTGATGATTGAGAGGAAGAAGGTGGTAACTTTTTAATTTAAACAATAACATGTATATTTCATATTTTAAATTAATTGTCTGATAGTATGTCATATTAATAAAATTATATTATAAAAATTACCTTCACTGATTAAGCTACTCATAGATTGATTAATAGTTGGATCAGCTTGAAGTTCATCAGGTATTCCAGTAAGTAAATATTCAACTGCTCTGTCTGGATTATTAAAACTAGCTCTAAGAGCGTTCTCAACCTTAAATTTGAAATCAAAATCAAAATTTTTTAATAATTTATCATAAAATGAATAAAAAGAAACCATTTTCCTACCTGTGATCTTTCATATCCCATATCCATAACATTTTGAACCATTCTTTCAAATTCATCACTAGATGCAGATTCTGGTACAGAAGCAGGAGTATCTATCACTGGTGAGGTTAATTGCTCTTCAACTCTAGGTTGTTCAGCTGGTAAAGATCTGTATGAAAAATATTAATTTAAACTTAATTTACAATAAATGTATGAGAAAAAATTATTAAAATATTTTGGTAAATTTTACTTTTCTGCTGGTTTCTGAGATGTTGAAACCGATGAACTTGGTTTAGTAACAGTACTTGAAGCACTAGCAGCACCAGCAGTATTAGTGGCACTAGAAGCACTAACACCACCAGCTGCTTTTGAAACCATAACCACCACAAACTTTTTGGAGTCAATGTTACAATCACTTATTTTAGTATCATCACTAAGAATTTTTCCTGAATATTTATTCATTAACATAAAAAAAATAATAATAATAAGATATTATATTATGTTTAATAGTTATCAAAATTATTTTAAAATTAAAAAACCAACCGGCATAAATCAATTTTTGGTTTTCTGCCAAATATTCAGATCCTTTTTCAGCTTGCAGTTTTTCCTTTAATTGTCTTACCTACAAATTTGATAATTATTAAATTAATTAATATTTTTATAATTTATATATTATTATACATATATAATATATTAAAACATTAATATAATCATTAGTTTTTTATAACATAATTATTTAGTCATTTTATTTGATGTGAGTATCTGTTTGTATTTATTATTTTAGATAAAACTGTTCTTTACAAAATTGTAGAAAAAAAGCATTTTTACATTTCATATTAGATTCAATATTAGTTTTTCGGAATTAGAAAAGAATACTTATCTTTAATATTTTTTCTAAGGGAAAACCATGTATTAATGATATATTAAAAAAAAAAATAATAAAATTTAATTTGCTTAGATACTCTTTTTAATAGTATCCATTCATTGTGTAATTTTAATAAGTAGGTATATACAGTCAAGATTAAACACAAGTTAATAATACTAATTTTAAAGTTTTAACATAAAATATGATTATTAAATAAACAAACAAAAGTACCTAGCTTACGATTAACTAGCAAATCGCACAACCATCAAAATATTTAACAAAAGAAATTACTTAATATAGTCACTACATTTATAAGCATACTAATGCAACTTACCACATAAATATATTCAATACAAAATATAATAAATGCCAATGTTAAAACAATAAAAAAGTACAATTTTAGATTAAGTATATTGTTTTAAAACATTAGACTCATTAAAGTAATTTTAAAAGTACACTTAAAACAAAAATTTTACTGATTAGTAACAGTAATTCTTTTTAATTTTTATTGAAAATAAAATATAATACCGTTTGATCCGAATCAATTTCCAGTTTGAATGTTTGCTGTTGCAAATTTTTGAACGTGATAAGCATTGTTGATGCTTCCGAATACAAAACTAACAATTGATGTAAGACGTCAATAGATTCGTAAAATATACTGAGCAAGTGTTATAAACTAGTTAAACCGATTATATATGTAATACAATTAACCATCAACTATGTTAATTTAATTTAACTTGTTAAAAAAAATAACATCAAAAAATTATCACGGAATACTATTTTTCTTCGCCGTGAATCCGTGAGGTGATTGAAGCCTGAAAGAAGACAATTATTATGGTCAATGGGTAATAGGTAAATATGAAACATAACCTAAACTTACATTAAGATGCATCATGGAAAAATACACATTTAGAATCTCTATTTTTTGGGTAAGAATTGGATAAATTCAAATTGTATAAATCGATCTGTGTGAAATTTTTGAATATGTTGGAAAAAAAATCTTTGACGTATTAAGTTAAATAGTGTTCTACCGAAAGTCGGAATTATAAAAATTATTATTTGTAGGCAATCATATTATCAGCTCTGATATCAAATGTCCATTTAATTGAGGCAACGTGACGTCACAATCCACGCCCGCATCTAGTCGTCACACCTTCAAAAAATTTAATGTCAAATCGTGACTATGGGTTTTTCGAATAAAAAAAAAATAACATGGCCATTATTTAATAGTGCGCGTGCGCATTACAATCACCTAACACTGTTAACGCGTAAATTGTGGTCGTTTTATTCTCCATGACCCTTGCTAAAATGCCGAAAACTTTTCCGACATCTTTCCATATCCACTCCCTCACATATTCTTAAATTTCAATAATTATGATGTTGGTAATTTGCTGAACATTCGGGTGTTGAACCACCGTCGGTTGTTCACAAAAAAAAATGTCGAATTATAATATTATGATGTTCACATAAGAAAGAAACAAAAACAACATCCAAATTAAATTGATATTATTTATTGTTTAAACATTGCACTTACAATTTTAATAGGAAAATGGCAAATCCTAATCGATGCGACAAATGCTATATATTTTTTTTCTCTATTATAAGAAAGTAGGAACAGTGTAATTTGGGTGCACAATAACATGAAATTGTTTTCAGCATTTCAACTAATTTAACAGAGATCAAAAGTATAAATAAGTTACGAGTAAAATACAAATTTAACATATGCCTTAACTTTGATGACAAAATGAAAACTATGAGACTACTAAAAATTAAGTATGAACAATAATTTATAATATGATGAACAGTAGGTATAACTTAAAATACTTATTCTAATTTTATATAACTAAATAGATTTTTTTAATACACATGTTCAATTAATATAATTAATGTATTCATGCTTATTTAATTGGAGAAACATTTGTAGAAAGAAAACATTATGATAATACTTTTTATAAATAAATTATTTATTTATAACTTAAAGTGGATGCACAAGTTTAAAAAAACTTGTGTATACTGTAAAATATTATGTTAAGTAATAAAATATTAAAAAAAATTAATAAAATTACCATAGGAATTATTTTAATGATATTGTATAGTAACTATTATTTTCATTTTAAACTTTAACTTGATGTGAACAAATAATTTTAAATATGTATAAGCTTTAACACAAATTACATAAGGTAATACTTTTGTTCTTTTTTTAAAAAACCAACACTAAATAACACTAAGCTATTAGACAACCAATTAAAGATAAGATTGAACATTTATTCGACCAATTTGGTACTGTACTTGGGTTGAAGAACCTGTAACATAATTAAATACATGATGTATTAATTATTTTATCGATTAAATAGATAATAAAAAACAACAGATTAATTCCAAAACAAAAATGTATATTATGATAAAACATATGGTATTTTTGCATTTTTTATTTAAGAATATAGATTTTTATTAACTTATTCAATAAATTATAATTTTTTAAGACAAATAGTTTTCTTGAATGCTAAAATTATTCTTTTACATGCCTAATATTCAAATCTAAAGATTAATAATTTATAAGTAAATACAAATCAATTACTAAGTTTTGTATTCTATTTAATTTTTTTTAAAAGATATTTGTTTCTGTTCAACATGTTCTCAGGCAATCCAAGTCAACAGTTACTAATTAATTTAGTTAAATTTTTCAGTTGTTGTGGGTGTAAATATATTAAAGTTTACTCAAATAATTTAAATTTGTGAAGTTTTTAATTATAAGATAAGCGACAAGTTCTTAACGGTTATTCTACTAGATACAAATCTGGTTTTCTAGTGATTTATCTTCTGACAACCACATTAATATAATAAGTGATAATGCTTTTCAAATTTAGGGATCTATTAAGAGCAATAGTTTAAATTTAAAAATCCAAGGTGTCTTAAAATTTTATATTTTGCATTAGTAATACCAACTAAAAAATTTATCTGTGATTTGTAACCAATGTGGCCATATTAATAAGCTCATTTGAAAAAAATAAACATAAACTGAAACGTTTTCTATGTGTTTTACACAACTTTTAGCAAGAGTAAAAAATACTGTTATTACCACTAAATAGTAAGTACTATAAAGAAGTTCCTTGAAAATAAAGATACTTAAATAATTACAATATAAGCACAAGATACGAAAATATTATTATACAAATGCACAGAAATAAAATAATTAAATTCAAAAATAGTATTTGTGTTTATGTGTATTGCTTATCTGAATTCTCCTGACAACATGTTATCGAGTTAGAGTCTATATATTATGAAATACTTTAAAAAAAATACCATGAATATTTATAATTGCTTGCTTTACCAAGAACCGCCACTTTTAATTCATAGCTGTAATTTGTATCATTGTAAATTACATATTTTGTTTTTTTTTTTAGCTACTTAATATTTTTTTATACAATATAGTTAAAATGTATTTAATTAAAAATTAAATTATCCCATTCAAAATTTAAGTAATTAATTACCAATTTGTTTATGACGTTGGTCTGAGCCATTGGGAATATTTTCTGGAATAAACACAGAGACTAGTAATGCACACATAACAAGTAGTGAACCAAAGACAAATGGTGGTCCTGGAATCATCTAAAATAACAAAAAATAAATGATTATTAAATTAATATAAAGAAAAAATATTTAAAGAAATAATTTAAACAATTATTACCGAAGATGATGGATTATTATTTATATTGTACTTTAAATGTGTAATTATGACTGAGCTATTAAGTGAATGATGAGTAGTATGAGCCATTTGCATTCCTTCATTTAAATTAACATCAAATAAATAAAATATGAATCCAAACATTGCTGGTCCTAATCCACCACAAAGGCCTCTTACTCCAGTTACTACTCCTTGAACCACACCTAAATAAAAAAATCAAATTCCATTAATTTTATTTTAAACATTTATATGATAAAAAAATAAGCAAAATTTTAAACCTTGCTTATCTGCATCTGAATGAATGGAAACAAATGAACTAATAGCAGGATATGTAATACTTGAAATAGCAGCCAAAAAACAAGCAGACCACATAACCCTAATAAGTACAAATATAAATAATATTATTATTACTCATTAACTACAAGTATCATTAGTCTACAAAAAAATGTAGACTTGTGAAGCAGTGACGTATCTACATGGTTGCATAAGTGTGCATTGCACCGGGCCCAGAGCCTAGACGGTCCAAAAGGGGGCCCTAGAATTTTAATATTTTGTTAATAATTTTAAACTATTTTATAATAAATAATATACTACGATAAAACCATAAACTTTTATATTACGAAGAGTATAAAAATACATATTATTATGTCATTTATTTCATGTATAAATATAATTTAATTAATTATGATGTATTTTATGAATTATAAATATTATAATACATAATATAATATATATATATAATTGTCTAATTTTATTCATATAACAATTTTTAGGGGCCATAAAATAATATTGCACATGAGCTAGAGTTTTATAGTTACGCCACTGTTGTGAAGACTTAGTACCTAGTAATCATCAAGTTTGTCTTAGTAATTGTTATTATTTTTTAGAAAAAAGTCAGAAAACTATATTATATTATAAAAACAGCATTTAGAATAGTGATTTTCCAACACTGTAACATTTCTTAATACCAAGATGAACTATAAAAGTTAAAATATTCATAATTTTTTTCCAAAATTTTATATAATATAGACCAAAAATTATTTATTTAAATATTATAAATGTTATTTTTATGTTACTTTGAGTTAACACAGATTCATTATGATAAGCTATTTTGTATCCAAACCAGCTTGCAATAAATTATTGTATTTTTAGTACCATTAGATGAGTAAAAACTTGGTACAGTACAAGAGTTCAACTATGGACTAACATTGTTTTTTATTTTTTTTCTTCTAGATTTTTTAAAGTTATCCAATAATACACAATGAGATAATTTTAAAAATATTGAGCATTCAATTTATTTTTTATTTTTCAATAAAGAACCCTATATTTTTTTTATATAATAAATTATTTTATTTTTCATAAGAAGTGTCTCTTTTGTTTTGTTAATATTATAGTCTCTTCAAAAATTGAGTAATTTGCGCCGAGTGCCTTTATTAAATATAATGAATTACATAGTTAAGCAATTAGTTGTTTTAAGTTCATTTAAGGTTACAGAAAGAGAATATTAATATTGCATTTATAACTGTAAAAAACTGTATAGCATACCAAGTTTCTGAACCAAATCCAAACCACATAAGTTGCATGATTTCAAATACCAAACCAATCATTATTGTGTATTTAGCTCCCATCATTTTCATTATTATGCCAAGAACAGATTGAATAACTGCTGAAAACAATCCTAGTAAAGCAATAAGTATTGATACTTTGAACATACTAAATCCCATAACCTAAAAAAAAGAATTACTAAGTTAAATATTTGATACATAATACATGCATTGACACGTATTGAATTTAATATGATTATAGTTTTAACTGAACTATTATTATTATAGACTTTTCTACTCAAAATTAATAAAGATTACAGAATACTGAATACATTATTTCTTTTTGTAAATATGGATATTGAAATTCATACTTCAGTCCATCATCAAATGAAGTTAATCAAAAACAAAAAAATATTAATAATTGTATTAATTTCTAATAAAATATTTAATGATTATATTAGTTATCAATGTTATCATAATACTATCATAATGTAATGGTTTAATATTTTCCTCAATTTTATTTATATAAGTACATTATGTACAATAATAATAAAGTGGACAAGTTAATAACCACTCTGCTATAAAATAGGTATCGAGTAAACCACGGAAATTGAATTTGTTAAATTTAAATTTAATTATAAATCATTGAAAAAAATTAAGTTTGAGCAAAAACAGAATGTTAAACTAAATAACTATGTATAATTTACTATAAAATTGATATTCTTCAGTAGTATAATGAGAGGTTTTATGACCTACGGTCTTCACAATGGATATTTTTTGAGCAGATGATTGGATTCATTAGGGTAAAAAATAGTATACAAAAAATTATAATAAATTAAAGGGCTTCACTATTAAGATATAGGTTATACATCATGGTTTTTAAATGTTTACTTTGACACTTATATTTTGCTATTATAGTAATATAGTTTACTATTAATAATATTAAATGTATCATACAGTATAAATCAGTAGTTCTCAAAATTTTTTGGTTTATGCATTCCTATTAATAAAAAATTTAAAAATGTTTAACACCTAGAAAAAGCTTCAATTGAGTCTAAATATTTTGAAAATAAAAGAATTTATTAAGTTTAGAAAATTATGATTTAATAACAGTGAAATTTATTCAGTTATTACAATTAATAATTTTTGAATTACATTAAAAATTTAATCTTCTGAGTATGAATATTAAAAATATTATATTTTTTTAATAACAAAATAATATGTACATTTCGTGATTTCGACAAATTTCTATTTGAACTTAAGACACTTATAAAAAATTATCATAAGTTATATCTTCAGCTTGACAGAGGGAAATATTTTTAATTAGTTGATTATTTTAATTTTTCTATAAGTACTAGGAATATTTTACTTTTGACTTCCTAAGAAAAATATTGAATTATAAAAATTGATGTATTATATTTTCTATGATAAAAAAAAAAAATTATCTCAAAACCTTATTATTTATAAAACATTTTAACACTTACAAGTCTCAAATAAACAAATAATGAAGAGTATTCTCCTGCTTCAGGAAGATATGATAAAAACACTGTTAAGCACAATATCAATATAGTCCGATCTCGACCAACCATTCTCAAAGCCTTGAAATAAAATATAAATACAAATACAGCTTTATCAACTTTTTATTCTAAATGTATACTTACAACAAATGGATCTGCTTTTTTCCAAGATATACAATTAGTAGATGTTCGTTGTTTATGTGGCAGACTTTCTGGTACAGCAACAATAATGAAAAATACATTTAAAAGTGCTATTAATGATGCTAAAAATACAACAAAATTAGTATTGTAAATTTCCATAATGTATGAACCAAGAGCTGGTCCAAAAACCATACTAGCTCCAAATGTTCCAGTTATCTAAAAAAAAAAAAAATATGGTTAATATTTATTTTTAAAATAATTGTAATTGGTTTAACTTATTTAATATTAATGTTTATATATATATATACCCAGCCATAATAGCAACTCCTTTCTTTTTCATCACTCACATCTGCTACATAAGCAAATACGACGGAAAACGTAACAGAAAATAATCCAGAAATACTTATTAAGGCAAAAAACCATCTACAACATATTTTTAAATTTTATTAGATATTTAAAAATTTACTGTAACTCAATTTTAATAATTAAGTACCCAGAATCAATACACATAAAAGGTATTGGAATACAAGTGAAAAACACTGTTAATAATAAAAATAATTTTCGTCCCCAAACATCAGATAAGGCACCAATCAACGGGGCACTTAGAAATGATAAAATACCCTAAAAAAAAAAAAAAAAAACAAAAGGATAAATAACAATTAGTATAGGTAATAAATAATAAAATGATTAATTATTGATAGTTTTGGTACCTTTATACCCCAAATAATACCATTCATAAGCAAAGCATGATCTTGGAATGTATTATTTAATTTCTGTAAAAATAAATATATTTTTTTTAAATGTACATAAATTCACAATTGGTTTTATACTTACTGATATTATTGGTAATGTTAATATGCTCCAAGCAAAATATTCTAAGAATATAATAACTAGTGCATGGTAAATTGATGGTTTTCCTATCCCTGATTTCTAAACAAAAATCAAATACATATACATTATACATAGTACATACATTTATCACAATATTGTGATATATTTATAATTTCTATGAGTATTACATAATAAAAGTTATAAAAGAATAGCAATGGTTAAGCAATCTCTATTGCTTATCTCTATACACAAATAATAAATGCAATTTTATTTTACCATTAATATTCCATCACTCAGAATAGATCTATGGCTCCGGATTACATTTCCAGACATATTTTTGTTCATTTTCATTTTTGAACCCATTGTAGAACGTGTCTCATACTTTTTTCCTTCGTTAACCGTCGGAAAATACTGATCCATTTGTTTAATTTCGAATTCAGGCAATTCAGACAATATATAATTATTCATACGTCATCTCAGCTATTGAAGTTAATAATAAAATGATAATACATATAAATACTATATAATAATTATACGTCAATTAAATGACTTCTACGAAAACAAATTATAATTAATTGTCTAATGACGATTAACTAATGGCTATTGTCGGAATAATGGATAGTATTAGAACAATCAGAACAAGGGAAATTTTAAATTGCATCCAGTTTACTCACTCAAATAATAGACAATTCTTTATAACTGTTTTACATTATTCTTTTCTTATTTGGCATTTGATTTCAATAAATAATTTGTAAATTATATTAACAAATAACAATTAAACATTAACTGTAAATACTAAATTGTGATCACCACGAATTTTTGATATTATTGTTATCGAATATCGATAGCAGCTGATAACAATAATCAAATTAAATTACAATCTGAACGTCTGCCATTGGTCAATTACCAACGAACGGTTACGGTTGATAATATAATTCTTTTTGTTTCAAAACAAAACGTTACAATAAGTAGGTATTAAGTACAAGAGTACAATATGTTATGCTGTATAATGTATTAATCTAATGTTGTGCCGTTGTGCGGTCTCTTGATTGCGAATGACTGATTTCTATTTTATATTTCTAACAGCAAGATCAGTGATCAGATTGTGAATTTAATAACATAATATTTATTGTTAACTACTATTTTTCTGTTCGTCAAAAAAATGTTACCGGATTTTTTATGTAGACCACTTATGTATGTATTATAGCCGTTTTTTTTGGAATACCTATTTTTACTTTTGTGTTCGTAAAATGCGTAATCACTTATCATTTTTATTCCAAATTTTATTAAAATATTCTCTAGGTGTAATATACATTGCCAATATTGCTATTTATCTGTAACACTTACAATTTACCTATTATTATTTTATAAATTGTTTTAGTTATTGTGAAAGATTTATGTTTACCTAAGCTAAGTAATTACTTTTTTTTTTATTAGGTAAATACTTCAATAATTCCAATATTGCATTACTTTTTATTTGATACAATTATGACCGGATTAATATTAACATATCTAGTTTAAAAATCTTACCTTGTCATTTTAATTTTTAATTGGGTACAATTTTATTTTTTCAGTATGTTATTTGGCATATTGTATCCAGGATATATGTCATTCAAAGTGCTCAAAACAAAGCGATCAACAAATTATGTATGTTTGATAATTTAAATAAATAATATACTATTAATATGATATGGTAATGTTATATTAACATTATTATTTATATTTAATATTAAGTTATTGAATTTGTGTAGCATATGTTTCATTTAATAACAAGTTATTATATTCTTATTAGTATTACTATAATTAAAAGAAAAAAAAATTTATTTCATCAATAAAAATAATTTATCAAAAAGATAAAAAAAAGTATGGCTATAAAAAAAATCAATATATTTAAGTGGATATGACTAATAACTACATTAGTAGAAACCAGATAAGATATCATTTAGGAAAAATATATATTTTTAATACTTTTTATTGTTTTAAGTGTATTATTAATAACTATTTATTTATATAGGGTATATGGCTAATGTATTGGATAACATTTTCGATGTTCACTTCAGTAGAGACCATAACAGATATATTTATTGGTCCTTGGTAAGTTATTTGAAAAAAAAAACACATATTTTAATAAATTAATCCTATTAAAGTATAGTACTATAAATTGTCTCATGTTATTTAAATAATTAATTTAAAAAATATACTTAATTTTGAATAATATTTTAGTATATATATATATATATTACAATTTACAGGTTTCCATTTTATAATGAGCTGAAGCTTTTGTTTCTTTACATGACTTATCCAACTTCAGACAGCTCTTTAACTTATGTGTACAAAAATATTATAAATCCGTTTATAAAACGACACGAAAAGGTAAAGTTTGTATCATTATAACTATATATTTATAAAAAAAAACTTATAAAATAAAATATATCCTAAGCAATAAATATTAAATTGGTGAGTAGATAACTGTTTTGCTGTATAGTAGATGTCTAATGTACATTGTTATTGATTAGATCATCTTATTGTATATTATGTCAAATTTAAATTCAATGATTAATAATTTGATACAAAAAAAAAAATTCTGAGGGAAGATGGTCTGTCAACCTATGTTACTAAATAATAATTATATTTCATGGTATGTTTTTTGATATCGTTATTAAAGTTATTTATTTTACTACTAATATATTGGTAGGTTGATTTAATTTTTGCTGAAAACATTACATTGATTATATTAATATTTAATTTATACAATATTTATTGAACATAAAATAATATCAACTACAAAGGTTATTAGTTACAAGATAATTATATTATAGAGTTTACTTTAATACTGTTTATGTTTTGGAATTTAAATATTATTATAAGTAACATTTGGTTGATAGAGATTAATTCAATACATTTAGAATTGGTAAAATTATGTTATTACTTTTTATTTATAGCTACGTTTGTTAAGTTTTATTATTAAGATCAGTTTTTCTTAGGCAGATGATCACATCATTAGTGGGGTCCAGTACTTCATCCACATTGGGTGGTGGAATATTATATTTTTTTTATTCATTGATAAATATCACTTTATGAACATTGGGGAAAATCTTCTTTGCTATAGGAGATTTAATTTTGACATTGGCCAATCCCAAAAAGCATTTTTATCCAGCAAAGAATTTTTTTTCAACATTTATTAAATTAAAAAACTTAAAAAAATTACAAATGTCTATAAATAGCTTAAAATCTATTAAAAATAGTTATATAGATATTTGGTGAAAATATCGAGGTTTTTACAGTTATTAGTTTTTAAATAATAATAATAAAAAAAAACTGATTTTACCTAAAAACTCCCTTTTTTCCTTAATTTCCTAAATCCTTAAACTATTTTTTTCGTTTTTTTTAATGATTTTGAAAAATACTGGAAATTTTTAATCTTAATTTTACTAAAGCACAAACTTGATCCAATTTGCCATTTCAAATTAACATAAAAGTTTAAAAGTGAAGCATTTTTTGACAATTTATTATTACACACATACACACACAAAACATAATTGTAAAATAAATATATTCATTGTTCTGCATAGAATTTAAAATTAATTTATATTTTAATGAAATTATATAAACATACTATACATAATAAATTAAATATTCAGTTATTTTTAAATATGTCAATTTATTTAACATGATTTAATATAATTAAATTAATCATTTAAGAATATTTAATAAAAAAAATGCAATTATTTCAGCAAAGATGGGTATTTAAAAAAAAAATTTAACTTTGAAAAAGTTAAACAATTTATTATGGTGCTTAAAAATCTTACAAATAGAAAAAAACTTTCTAAATTAACTATATTAATTACTTACTTGTATTATTACAGGCTATTGATGCTCAAATAAGCAGTTTGAGGAGTGGTGGCTTACAAACATTCATGGTAACAGGCAAAATATGTACTAACTTTTTCTTGAGCCAGGCTATAAAAGTTTTCCAACTTTATGTAAGTGTTAATCTTAATCATAAAATTGTTTGTATTTTTAAATCTTAAAAAAAAATTTTTCTTAAGGGGATACAAGCGGTTCAGTTACAAAATATTAGTATGAATATGAATACAGCATTGATTGAGAATAGTGAACCAGACGGAGATGTTAATTGGGAAGAAGTCATTAATGATTCTGAAGATGAAGATGACACTTCTTTCAAGATGACTAGTTCTTCAGAATCTTTAGCTTCTTTAGTACAAGAAGAGCCTCCTGAATATTCCTTCTCTGACATGTATGGTAATATACAGACAAAAGACAACAAAAAAACATATGATCCACCATCATCTAACACACGAAGAAGAAGAAAAGCACTTTGAAAATAAACTCAAATGAATTTATATATTTATCTCATAAAAAAAAAACTGTATACATTTTTTCTAAGTTGTATAATTTGATGTTATTTTTATTCAATAATTTTTATAATAGTTGATCTCTTTTTTCATAAAAAAATAAATTTTTATACTTTGTACATTTAAGTTTTATTACTTTTAACTTTAAACTTTTGTATTGAAATATATAATATACAAGCTAGTAACGGTACAAAATTTAACATTAAAAAAAATTTAATAATTTTAATTAAAAATAATAAAAACAATCAAAACATTCCACAGCTAATAGTTAATTGCAATTCATCTAAAACGGTAACACTTTATAACGCTATGGTAATTTTTTTAATTATTCTTAAGCATTTACCAAAGCAACAGTAATAATAATAACTTATAGAGAAAATTGTATAATTTTCAAGCTATTTGACTTAAAAGTGTAACAATTTCAATAAAGTATTAACGTTTTATTTGTTTCTTATGTAAATCCACCACAGTTCGTCAATTCGTAATCAATATTCAATAGGTAGATATTAAATTTTGCACATATATTTTTTTGGTTCCTGGATATGTCGTATCCGTAGGTATGTTACTTGTCACTACGGAATTTAACCCCGAAACTGATAAATGATAATATTAACTGAATTCTGTTTCAGTACACGAAAATTTAAACTTTTTATTAATAATATGATTCATTGATTAATTAAAATGAAATAGGTGGTTATTGTGATTGGATATAATTTTAAGTACTTACTGTTAATTGTTATTATATAATATATATCATTACACATTTATAATATTAATATTACCTATTTTATTTCGCCTGTTCAAGAGTTGATGATATGCCTAAAAATATGTTCGTACTGCTGTATTATGCACAGCATGATAAATAATCATAATTTTGGAAAATCGACTCATTTCAATTAAAAAATGATCTTATTTTTATTTGCGTATCATTGAAACGTTATCAAATTTGATGATTTACGCTGTGATTTTTAAACGTACCTACATAATTAAATGTACCTAATACTGCATGAAAATGGACCACCAAATACTTAAACAGATGCATTTGGGCCATTTGGCTGACTGTCTATCTGTTTGGGAAAGACATTGTTCGAAACAATTAATCTGATTTTAATGGGGTTTACACCGATATAGGTAGGTACCTAACGGAAAAACGAAAACCACTGATGGACTGATAGATCATCTATTATAGATGTATTTTAATCCAGACGATATCGGATATTAAAATGAATGATTTATTATGCAAAGAGCGTTTCCAGATTTTATTATTTTAAATATCTATTAGCCATCGTTGTATAACCTTTTAGGTAAAATTTAGGTATATTCATGCATTTAAAAACTGAATAACAAAAATATATCATATAATTATTATAAGTTATTATCTCTTATAAATTATACACTATATAATATATTAAGAAATGTTTGTGGAAATAGTTAAACACAATTCACATTTCACATTTATTAGGTAGGTAAATCGCAAATATAATGTACAAAAGTATTTTATCAAAATGTTTACTTAATTTTCAACATAAAATATCACAACAATGGTACCTAACAGTACTATTTACAAATAAATTAAAATGATTTCAAAATAATAAATAATAGTATCACTCTAAAAATAAAAATTTAAAAATAAAAAAAAATTGTATTCACAATTATTTAGGACCCTGAAACGTATTTAAACCTAATTAAAAAATAAAATAATAATAATTATAAAAGACGAAATAGAATTTTACAAAAAGAAGTATTTTATCGTAACAATACATTAAAAATAATGTACTTAAAAGAAAGATTAAGTTGCAATTTGTAGCAAATAAATTAAAATAATAAATAAATATGATATCTGAAACTGTACCAAGTTGCTGAGAACGCATTATTGGAAGTATCAGTTTATCGGTTTAAGAGTATACCTAAAACGTCTCACAGAAGGCCTATTTTGTGTCGGTTGTTTTCTCTGACCAAGCATATCATTCATGGAAGGCATAGGTTTGGATCGCATGGCTATAAACTCTTCTGCATCTTCGTCTTTAGGCAGAGGCCTCTGAGAGTCACCAGGTACGGGCCGACCATCAGGCATTACTCTTACAACCATGGGTCCGATGACATAACCACCCGGTGGAGTAGCTATTTCTTCGACGTTATTTGACGCAGAACCCAAATCGTTTCCACCACTAGTTTCTATACAATGTTGACAAAAACAAATATGTTAGAATTTTTACTGGGAAATACAAAACAGATCATATATGTCCGAGTGTATCTTATATGATATTATTCATATTTACCTAATGGGTCATTGAGCTCTTGTTCCGATTTGTCAGTTGTTTGGGAAGTAAAGTAACCTCCTTTAATCATAGATTCCCATACTAAAATAATAATATGAAAGAATATTAAGAATAAAATATAAAAAGCTTTCTATTTTAAAGTGTTTACTTTATTTAACATTATTTACATAATATTATTTAAATAGTTAAGTATATGTTAAGTACATACTCATTATTCTCGATCCTCTTTGATATGGGTCCATTTTGTCTAAGCTATCATCTCCCATTTTTGCCAAGTTGGTTAAACCATAAACCAATAATACTTTATTACAGTCTAAAAAAAAAAAAAAAAATAGCAAAAATTAATTGTTTATACGATATTATCATTCACAAATATGTATTGTATTATTGTTAATTGTTATACCATTAAACATTAAAATCTAGGTTTGCAAGCAAATATTTTATTGTTCACACACACACGAGGTACATGTGTATTAAACATATTATATCTATGCCTATTTATATATTTTATTGAAAATAATGTTTATTAAAATAATTCAAACCTAAATACTTGTAACTTATAATATACCTCTTTAATTTATTCACAATAGGTATGTAATGTCATAATATTATTTAATTAGGTGTTACAAGTTTAATTATTTATGAGTTGCTTATGCTCATTAATATAATAATTATTCATATATTAAATATATAAATATATAATAGATAATCAAACTTTCACGAAATTGTCTTTTTTAATATTATATTGTATACTTGTATACTTGTACAGATAGAATAGGTATATGGACCATATACAGTGGTATTGCAGGCTATAGGCAAATTACTGCATCGTACATATATATATATATATATATGTGTGTGTGTGTGTGTGTGTATATATTTATTTCAATTAAAAATGTAAAGAGAGAGTTATTTTTTATACATAAACAGAAGTTCACTATGCAAATGTCCTGGTTACATCTGTATTTTTAATTCTTTATTAGTATGTCAGTTTATCTATATACGACTGCCTAACGTAGTGGTGTGGTATACCATACACTGGCATATATTATTAATGGTAAAAAAAACAATATGTCAATGTTTGCAATGAGTTTCTACGTATAAGTATAACAAGACAAACCATTGGTATAAGACAAAAAAAAATAAAAAAATACCAAGGTACCTAATAATATTGATAAATTTAATTAAGTTGCTTAGTTGTATAATTAATTAATAAATTTATAATTTTATATTTACAATAAAATTCAAAAAATAAACACGAATTTATACCTAATTCCAGGTTACATGAACAATCACGAAGACACTAAACATATAATGAATCAACATTGAGCCATAGTCCTAAAAACATAATTTAGTGACCCAAGATTGCTGTTTATTAAAATTAATAATGTTTTCATGAATTGAACATTAAACAAATTGTATACAATATATTATATTTAATTCAAGGCAGTTTAATAACTATATAATAAATAGATATAATGTATTAATATAAAATAATTGTTGTTATAAGTGCTATAATAACATAATGTGATGATATGATTGATTGATATGATAGTTATTATTTACTTTATAATATGTTATTTAACAGGAAATGTAAAACATACTCATTAATAAAATAACAAATCATTGAGAATGATTGGAAAAATTGTACTTAAAAGCTATGGTCCTATAGTAATCGAATATAAGAAGAAATTAATTTTTCTATATTTATGTGTAGTAGCCATGACCTGCAAGAGCCAATAACCTTCATAATGACATGCGAATTAATTTGACTACGATGAACCCAAAAGACTTTAACGAACGATCACAGAAAAATTTACGATTTATGAATTATAAGTCATCATATTTATTTGTATAATATTTCATAAGAATACTATCAGGAATTACCTTGAAAACCAATGTATCAATTTTGTAACCTATGTATATATTATATAAACTAAATGTTTTCTCTTAAAAAAAAAAAAATAAAAATAATCTTATACCTATATACAGAGTATAGTACATATATTTATTCAGTTTTTATCATTTGATATTAGTGTATACATTTTTTATTTATCTAATACAAAATCATATAAATAGTTTTTAAATTGTCACTTTGAAGTTTATGAATAAGGTATATTATATGTATTGTATAAGTGTATTTAATTTGTATTTTATACCTATGTCTAGATATAAAAGTACAACTTTGCAAATAAATATAAGTGCACGGTATAAAAAGACACAAATTACATAACAAAAGCCCAAAAGGCTTAAAAACTATTTAAAATAAAGATCTTTTTTTTTTCCTATGAAATCTTCATTTAATATACATAGATAAATTATAATTTATAATTATCATTATGCAAATCAAAACCAAAGAATAAAACGAGCGTTAGATAGATTCTTGTATTATATTTGCATCCTTCAAACAAATAGAAATTAAGAACCACAGACCTATCATAATTCATAAGACTTTAAAAGATTAAAGAGAGTATATAACTATATTATACTCAATAATAGTTAGTAAGTCATTTGGTTATAAATGTTATATTTAATTCCTAGGTATAATCCTATGATTATAGATAAAACTTAAATTTAGTAACTGAGGTCTGCGATCACGATCTGTATAAGTACATAGTAAATAGACATAAAAAAATTTACCTGGCATCGAAGACGAGTCACAATAATCGGCTACTTGTTTCACGAACATGTTGAACAAGTGGCTCATCTAAAAAACAAAACATGAAAATGAATAAAATTATTAATATTTATAAACACTT